ACTCTGCTAAAATAATTCTTTCTGGCAACCCAGTGCTCTGCACTCCCCCCGCTGCCAATATCTCCAGTTGTGACAAAATTGAAAATTCCCTCAGGCTTTCAGTCAGAAAAATGCAAATTGAGGAGACCTCACCAGGTGCAATTCTAAGTCTTTTAAGGAAATGGAAAAGTTGAAAGTTGGCTTGGTTAAAAAAACACAACATGCCTTCTGAATCCCAGAGCGTAATTGGGCCCACTGGGGCATGCAGGTAAATATGGCTGGAGGATCAGTGCTCGGAGAGGGGCTGTGTATGTAATTAAAAGCTGCGCTTGCACAGGGCTGTGTTCTCAGGCCAGTGAAAAGCCTACAGTGGCTGAACACTCACATTGTCCAGTGTTGCTGCAGGACCTGGGGACTTATCCTACACTCCCTTCCAGGTCAGATATGGCCAGCAGCCATATCACTCTGCAACTCACAACTGGCAACCCACTGAAGCTCAGCAGGTGTAAGCCTGGCCAGTACCTGGATGGGAGACCTCCTGGGAAAACTAAGGTTGCTGCTGGAAGAGGTGTTAGTGGAGCCAGCAGGGGGCGCTCACCCTGTGGTCCATGTGGGTCCTAATGCCCCAGTATGGTGACGGGGACACTATACTGTAAACAGGCGCCGTCCTTTGGATGGGATGTAAAACCGAGGTCATTAAAAATCCCAGGGTCTTGAAAAGAGTAGGGGTGTAACCCCGGAATCCTGGCCAAACTTCCCATTGGCCCTTACCAATAATCCCCATCTATGAATTGGCTTCATTACTCTGCTCTCCTCCCCACTGAGAGCTGGTGTGTGATAAGTGTTCTGGCGCACTATGGCTGCTGTTGCATCATCCAGGTGGATGCTGCACATTGGTGGTGGTGGAGGGGAGTCCCCGTTACCTGTAAAGTGCTTTGAGTGGACTGTCCAGAAAAGTGCTATATGAGTGTAAGCAATTATTAATAATTATTATTAGATTCCCAAAGGACCACTATTTACACGCTGCCTCTTCTGTCAGACTCAAGCACGCCTGTCTCATGCTGCTTACACAATTCAGTAATGAAAACTTATCACATATAATCATCTCAACTGATGATAGCTGGGATGTCAGGTTATGCAAATCTGTCATGTTAACAGGACCTAACACCTAGTGTAGTCTAAAATCTAATTAGGTTCTCTAAGAGGAAAACAAGCTAACTGCTGTCGTTAGTAATACATCTAGAACTATTATACCATATAATAGTTAATATTATACCTGGATAATATTATACAGATATAGATAATATTACACCGGGGTTCCCATCAAGGTCGTAAGCGATTTATCTGGTTAAATAAAGGATTAGGTAAACATCCGCACACCATTTTATCGCGCTATTTCTCATAAAATATCTAGGGAAGGGAAAATGTGCACTATAAATAGCGCCAGGGCCTCCTTTGTACAATATTTCCTGCATTTACCAATAGCACAAAACCTACAGCCCACCCACTTACCTACAGAGCAGGAAACTCAAATGAGAACCGTGTTTTTGACTATACGTGATGACGTTTTACGATCGCGCCGATGTGCGTGCGCATGCGTAATTGTGTCGGCGCAAATTTTCAAAAAGTGAGGACTGAGCAATCTTAAGTAACATCGTATAACATATTATCCATCATATTCACAAACAGTTTATTGGTGGTGTTTTTTTGGGTTTTTAAATCTTGTTATTTTTAGTGTTGGCTTATATAGCCTTCGGTTAAACAGGATCTAGATCACGGTAAGGCTTTTTAAAGTTTTTTTTTTTCTGATCCCGGTGCGTGATCTGAATTGTGTTAATAATAAACAGTAATTGGAATTTAAAATCAGAGCTATATAACTTAAATATAGCTCCAATAAATATGTATCTGTGATAACAATATTTTTTGTCAACAATTTGGAAGTTATGTGCTCGTAAAAATTGGTTTCAGAGGAGAAATTTCGGTGATGTTTCGAGTTATTTACATCTCGGCAAAACCAGTAAATATGACGCGATCGCTTATAAAACTGCAAGTAATGTACGCACGGTTATGTGCGCTCGTTACGTTAAAATTATATTTATAATGTATCTCGAGTATCCAGTAGAATTGTTAATACAGCAGTAGAAACCACCACAGACCAAAACAAACATCGCACTCCGGATGTTTCGCCTCTTCTGTCCCTGGGCGACTCTCTATTGTAACAGTCAGGCCGGTGTGTCCTAACCTCAGTTGTATTTTAACTGTCCATAACAGTGTTCTTACTGGGGTTGAATAATAGTGTAATTCCTTATTAGGTTGACTTTTATAGAAAATGACTCACAGAAGTTACATTTACCTGTTTTTAAAGGTGGACTTGCTGAAATAATCTGGTTAAAGTACTTTATACAGTACTTAATCCCTACTCCACTCTTAATTGTACAATGCTACCTATGATTTCAACAGGAAGTCGGTCGAAAATTAAAGCTTGTGCTTCATAATGCATTCTGAGTATTTGTACTGTTCTAGCTGTTTGTGTAACAGAGCTTGACTAATGGTAATTATTGCTCAGTTGAACAGACAGACAAGGACATGTTGTCGTAAAAGTATAAAAGTGCTAACTGTACTGTGACAAAGAGCCATCCATAAAATGGAGGAAACACTGACTTTGTAGCTAGACCTTGTATATCATGCAAAAAGCTCATAGATATTCCAAGGATGAGGAAATATTCTAGTAGAGTTCTACTTATGCTAGATTTGTTCATTGTAATATGGGCTGGATCTGTATGTTAAGCGCTGTCTGAGGGATGGTCTGTACTACTATACTACTATTACTACTACTACTAATTATTATTATTATTATTTATTACTCTACTCAAAGCTCTTTATGGGTAATGGGGACTCCCCTCCATTACCACCAGTGTGCAGCCCCACCTGGATGATGCGACGGCAGCCATAGTGCGCCAGAACGATCCCCTCACATCAGCTATGAGTGGGGAGGAGGACAGAGTGATGAAGCCAAATCAGAGATGGGGATTATTAAATATGAAGTTGCATGCCTACCTCATTCTTATTGCCAGCTTCGGGGTTGTCTAAGAGTGCTGTTCTGTGCCATCTCTCTCTCCGAGGCAGCCTGTGCCGCGATGAGTGCCTCCTCCACCCCCCGCCTGGGCATGCGCTCCCACGTCCTCACGGAGATGCTGCCCGGGAAGCAGTTCGTCTCGCCCTCCACCCGTGCCAAGGTGGTGCAGGTCGCCCACCAGCCGCTGCTCAACAGCTGCCCCAGCAACGATGACGACCTGGAGAAGAGGCAGAGGCGGCGCTCCAAGGTCATCGACCTGCACATGAGCGGCCTGGATGGCTCGCTGCTGGATTCCCCTGCGCGCAGGTCAGCC